CAAGAAGTCATAATCAAAACATTGTTCATATATCTGTTACAGATATATGAACAATGTTTTGATTATGACTTCTTGTTGTCGTTTGTTTAATTCAGGATATGGAAAATCTGTAATAAAAATGAGGAATCTATCTTGAAATGTTTGCAAAATACTTTGGAGGAAAAAAATTTAATGTTTTCAAAATAAATAAAGTAAAATTTTTTTGCTATTTTATCACTTCTTGCTAATTATGCGATTTTTTCTCTCTTATAAATTACTGCATTAATTCATGTTGTTATTCTTCTTGATTAAAGTTACCGCATTAGTTTGTGCTTTGTAAGATTCAGGTATTCACTACAAGTTTTCTCTGATATACTCAATTAAACGTCAATTTACGTTGCAATTTATACGTTTACTGTCTTTTAATGAATATTTGATTAATACACAAAAAAAAGCTGAATTTGATGAAAGGAAGTTAATTGGGTCAACAAAACTGATTATATAGTTGTTAGTACTTCGTTTCGAACACATTTTTGAGAACATGTCATTGGTAAGCGCCGGCACGGAGGTGTCTTGGAAACTCATTATCAAATCTTGTTTGCTTCTTCAAACAAATACCCACTATACGCGTGAATCCCCTTAATAAAGGAGGTTGTAAACGGCAACTTGATCACTCTTTACGGCTATAGTTTTTTGCTGTCTGTTCATCTGTTGGTTTATTTCTCAGTGTATCTGTAAAGCGTCAGAACCTTTATTTATACGAAAGGCATTCGTTCAAGTTAAGATGTATTTTTAGATTATTGTTGAATTTTTAGAGATGCAATTCCGTTTGGCAATCACTTTTTTCCTGGTTCTGTTATTGTGTCCAAGTAATTCCAGTCTTGAAATGCGTTACAGAAGATTTTACGCAAATCGGTAAATTTTTTCAAATTAGATATTTGTGACCAAAAAAAATAGGTAGCCACTATTGTTTATACATTTATTTTTTATGCAAACGGTCAAGATATGTTAGTCATTTGGAACGAGAGGCAACATAAAACTAAAGAATCTCGCCAACATATTTGTTTAGATTTTCACCAGAAGCAGCTCATGAAACTGAAGACTCAGGTGTACAAGGTATATGGTGATTGACTTTTCATTTTATTTATTCACTAACTTATTTGTTTTTTTTTTTTTATTTTTTCCTCACTTCTTTATTTATCTTTTCTTTTTTCACTGAGCTTCTATTGCCTTAGGTTTTTCGCTCTTTTTAAATATTCTTCTTACAGTCAAACAGCTCTTAAAATTATTTTTTAACAAGATCAATCTTCCCTACTTTTACAGCAAATGTTCCGTCGATGATGATCGGTAATCGTTGGATTGCACCGATAGCTCGCCAGTACCGCTATTTACGATTAAGTCGTTCCTATTCGCCAATGGACACGTTCTGAACGCGTTTCCCGTCAGTTTTTAGTTGCATCGGTTGAAACAGCTTTTTTACAGTACGAAATCACCGTCTTCAACGTCTTCTTCGTCGCCATATTGTTGATACATTCTAAATACTTGAATTTCAAATGCTGTAACGAACCAAATTTGGTCAAAAATTGAAAAAAAAAAGAAGCACAGTTGTTCTCCTCCCTCTCAGTGAATTTACAGTTTTTCAATATTTATCAACAGGAACTTGTATTTCTCGCTGAAAACTTGCTTTCAACTTTAATGGAGCAACAATAAAGTAACCTTCCATATAGACAAAATTGTTTTGCCAATTACTGCTTTGCAGTCAGTGTTGTACAACACTCAACTTCATTGTCCTTAAAAAGGTAAGGATGAAGAATCTGAAACCAACATGGTTTAAATCTGTAGAGAATTAGTAACAACTTTTAAATTAAAAAAATTAAAATAGCAGAAGAGGATTGATTAATTAAATACTAAATACAGTTTTTTTTGTTTGTTTTTTACTACTGCTGTTTTTATGGCTCACGGTCAAAAATTTTAACTAGTTTCTGCCTTTCCCGTAAAGAAAAAGTTATAAGCAGAAGTTTGAATTACGGTGCGGAATTTTTTACTAATTTGTTTTGACAGTTGCTGTTAAATCAGTGAGTCCAAAAAGAAGAGGGGAGCGAAGGAAAAAGATATCTGACTACTCCGATGACACATTCCTAAAATGAACTTAAATTACTGATAATTTTGGAAGTTGAATGGATAGGTTAGGTATTGTGTGCTAAATAGCTGCAATAATAATAATAACAATAACATTAATAATAATAATAATAACAGTAATAATAATAATAATAATGACAAAAATAAAAAACCAGTGCAACTAATAATAATGAACGAACAGAAATGAGTTGTAGGAAGAAAAAACAAAATTTGAGAATATAATATCTTGCTAGAACATTTTTCAATATTTTGTCTATTTATCTATCTATTTGCATATGATGTCTACCCTTTTTTACTCTTCTGTATTATAAGTGGAATTTGAGAAGGAAAAAGGCTTGTTTATCGACTCGTATAAAGGTGAAGTATGCCGAATAAAAATTTTTTGACAAGATTCCGCTAGAAGATGGTGAATTTAATTTAAAAAAAACCTACAAAGTGTGCATCTGTTGTGGTAAGCACAGCACAAAAAGAATGATATTGGATTTTTGTTGCCCAGTTTGGCACTGGCATTCCGGCTGTTCTGCTATGACCTGCAGATTCATGAACAATGGCAGAGTCTTCGCCATAGGAAGCTGTGGAAAGCGATACAATCACTCTGGAAAGTTTATCAAAAAGCTTTTGTCATTGCCATTTTCAAATAAAGATTTTAATTTATTGGTAAATGTTAGCGGCAAGCCTGGAAAATCAACCCTTCAGCAGTAAAGTTTTTTGTTGCTATGTGAAGCGTCGGTTTTAGAAAGCGGTTAAATTGAAATGAAAAACGGTAACAAGCTTGCTGTTTCCCTACTGTAATCGCCTATAGAACCTAAGGAACAGTTTGTTTTATAGATTCAGAGCGTTTCAGCCACTTATTAGGCATCTTAGGCATCTTAATTTAAACTAAATATTTTAACCAGATCCCAATTATAGACTTAAGTTGTTTACCGTTTTCAGAAAAAAAAAATTTAACATTGAACTTATAATAAAGGGGCAAAGTACATAAAGGAATAGGGTACTATTCAGAAAGAGACATGCAGAAATGCGATCTTCAAAACTGAAAAAGGGTTTTTTTACAAGAAGGTTTACGTTTGTAGTGGGCGAAAAGTAGGAGGACTTTAAGTAGCAGCCAGGTGGAAAAATGGAATAAAGCAAGAGACTGCAGAGTATTTTTTGCAAAGTTGGTGAGCTTAATTCAGTTAGCTTCGTTAAGTGTCAAAGAAGATTTGTTTAGCAGGATTCTTGCCTATTTTTAAACCATTATATTTGCAAGCTTCTTGCAGTCTTGAGTGCTTGGGAAGTAATGA